TTACAATGCAATGTACAGTTAGACAACTTTTCTCTTGTGAAGTTTATGATAATTTGTGTCCAATCATGTCTGACCAAAACTTGGGTTGCTGTGATATATTAGCGAGCTTAAAACGTTTTTGTCAACATGTACGTCAAGTTGCTGAGGGGGGGCTGCATTAAAAACTGTGATCTTTCCTAAACAAGTCTTTGTGATGAATGATTTCAGCGAGAAGGCGAACCTCGCTGTAACTTTAGTGAGTTCTGATGAGGAAGTTGTTGCTAGTGGAGCATTCTTTGACTATCCCAACCTTGCCGTGGATCAAGCAAAATGGGAGAAATTATTTCAAGAAACTTTCCAATCTATTAAACCAACCGTAAGTGTCCAAGGAGCATGTTCATGTTATTATTTTAGGCACTATACAGTGTTTCAATTGAGTCATAATTCCAGAAAACATATATAGGAAATTGGAAGTTAACCCCACCCACCCCCTTTTAAATACACTTACTCAGTTATAATAATTAATTGGCACCTTTCATTACATAGCCATTGAATTCACTGTTCTTGAACTTCTTTGCATCAAAACCAGATTATGTCCAAGGATGTGCTTCAGAAATTTTAAGGTAATTAATTATATAGATCATGAAAATGTGAACACAGATCAGCCTATGTACAGTACTATACAGTACACTGTACATATAATTATGTATATTTTATTTCTAGGACAGTATTTAATACTGCATCATATATCGAGTATATTTTTCTTGTAATGCCAACAAATGCTCAAGAAGGTGAGAAATTTTGATATTTCTTGTCATTGTAAATTATACTTAACCCATGAGTCGATCACAAGAGCCTCGTGATAAATGATATAATTTGCATAAACTCATTGACAATTTTACAACAATTATACAATTTGATATCTTTTGTTTATTTTCCCAGGGCTACCATTACAGAAGTTGTTCAATGCTGTCAAATGCAATGATAACATCGACAAGGAGAACCTCAATGGCACCGTTCACGTTTGTTATCGATTTGAACACATGCCCAAACTGCACATGAGACCTGCAACGTAAGAGACTAACACTACATTGCTTAGTATAGTATATAAATGGTATAAAAACCACCTGTGTATAAATAATGCACAACTTTTTCCTAAAACTGTCACATGCGACCTGCATCTTACAACAAATCTTGATTTGCACAGTACAACTCGTTTGTTGTGAGCAGGTTGCATGTGACAGTTTTAGGAAAAAGTTGTGCAATGTAAATCGGCCATAAATGAACAAAAATGACTTCTACAAAATAACTTTAGTATTATAATACAAAGTTTTATATTTTTAGTGTAGAAGATCATGATGATTTAACTCCAATATTTGATGAGCAAAGTGACAGTTTAATCAACTCTTATGGTAACTTCACTTGTATTTTATCTAAACTAGATACTAGACTAAAATTTGGTCTACTAAGACATTAGATTGCTATCAGTGTAGAGTGTACAATATGATGAAACATTGATAGATATAACATTTCACATTTAATTCAAAATCAAAACATACAGTTTCATTCTTTAAAATTTAATTTTAGGAGATTTTTTCCTCAATGATCTCATAGAAGCTGAAGACGATGAGAACAAATGTCTTGTGGCAGATGTAAGCAAAATATATTATAGTCACCAGTATTAATATTATTTGAATTATTATAATAATATAATATTATAATATTCGAATTATTATAATATAATATATTGATATCTTTGTATTGTTCTTACATCTTTAGGTAAATGGTGCCGCTGTTGGTTTTCTGAGTATAAGTACGAACGTCAATGTAGAATTGTTAAGTGAATATTTTGACCTCTCGCCTTTCAATGATCTGAGAAAACAATCTTCCAGCAACACTTCAGGTAAGATGGGATGGTACTGGTGTGGTGTGGTGTAATATGGTATTGGTACTGATATGCATATATAGGAGGTCACTCAGTAGCTATTTGCACAAAAGCAATTAAAAGCAATCTACTTGTAGCAATAAACGTGATCTTCTCGTTGTACAGTATCCATGTTTTAATTAATACACTTTAATATATGTTTCAGATCGAGCAAGTGTGTTTTGTGTCGAGCTTTTCTGTATAGATGAAAAGTATGAGGCTAGGTAAGGGTACGTTTGCACATTGCGGATCTGACGTGTACGAATCGTATTCTGGCGTATGAAAATTACTGCAGATGCCACAATTCCTTTTCATTTAATACGCATGCTCATTCAATTACATACAGTATGCCAGAATATTCATTGACATTTCCCAGAATTGGCATAATTAATAACTACACTTTTTAATATTATCAAATATATTTTTGTACAGATCAATGGATTTTCTACCAGCTGCATTTAAACTTTTCGCAGTGAGTACAAAATCAACATTTATTTATTAAAATCTGATGGGTAGATTTAATAAATCCTTGTAATACTTGACTTCAAAGGTTTGAGGGGCCACTGTGGCTGGTATGAAAAGGGCATTAGGCATTAGTGTGGTAATTAGGGTGACCATAGGATATTTCTTTCCAAATTGAAAAGTGGATTTAATAAGGAAGTTGGCACAACACCTCTCCCCCACCCCACCCCATATCCTTTGCACCCCCTTCCTCTTGCACCCCTTCTCCCCCACGTCCTTGCACCCCTTTTGCACCAAAGCTGGAGGGCACCTTCCCCAGTATATCCATTGTTGATACAGAAGCGTTATTTTCTCACTAGGATAAAGATTACTGTGTGATAACAATGCCACATATTGTCAACGAGTTTCCACTTGTTCAAGAATTTACGGTAAGATCCTTTTAAACATCTCTTTTTCTCCTTAAAATTTTGGTTATATGCTAGCTAGCTCCATATAACAACAAGTGAACTACATTAACAGAACAACAACTCAGTTTTAAGTAAACAGTGTATTCAGTTTTGATTTTTCTTCTTCAGAGAGTCACACCCAAAGCTGATGCTACAACTTCACATGAGCTTTACGTATTTCATCGTTGGGGACTAATTCGGTATGCTTTACCTTCAAGTATTTTTAATGAAGTCGCTCTCTCTCTCTTTTTAAAAACCAGCATAACATTTACTGTGTTGTCATTTCAGAACTATTAGCATCAGACCGGCTATCTCCGAGGATTTCAATGGTATACAAAATATTGTCGCGAATATTTCAGGTTCTGATGTCCTGCTCAGGTGAATATTCCTAAAATATGATGGAGACCAGGTTTCCAACATACACGTACCAGATAGGTTTCCGTAGCGGCACGAAAAAGCACCTATCCGATACGGAATGTATACAACTTTCAGAAGCTGAGTGAAACAACATCTCTCCGTTGCAATAATTCCTCTGAAAATAGCGTTCCTAAAAGGTACGGATAGATGTTTTTCACGTCGCTACGGAAAGCTATCCGGGTACAGTGTAAACGTAGCCTAAGCAAGCTATCCTAGATGCCAATACAATTAC